AATAAACAACAATTATAACTTGATTGAAAATAGAATATGTTTTTGTTTACAAACTTGAGTTTTAGGACATAAACCCAACAAACTTCCACTTGGACTAAAACTCTAGTGGGGTTTTATAATGTTGAGTAGAGAGAAAGACATAAATACAATAAACTAGGGCATCACATACTCATGCCTTTTCTCCCACTTGCCCTAGATTACATAACTCGTAGTCCTAGACTCACTAGGTGCCCTACATACACTTTAGCCGTGAGGGGCTCTGAAAATGGATCAGCAATGTTGTGCTCTGAAGCTATCTGTGTGACGATCATATGTCCTCGTTGCACAATCTCCCTTATGAGATGATATTTGTGCTCAATATGTTTTCCTCACTTATGACTTTTTGGTTCTTTTGAATTTGCAACTGCTCCACTGTTATCACAATAAAGAGTGACGGGAAGATGCATATTTGGAACGACTTCCAAATCATTTTAGAACTTCCTAAGCCATACAGATTCTTTCGCTGCTTCACAAGCAACAAAATGTGTTCATATAACACATGCGTTAGCAATTTGGATCTTAGGCACTTTTAGAACATCAATTATAGTAAATAACTATCATGTTCATAAGTATTAAAATTTAATGAGTTTGAATACTAACCTTTTGTACTTCAAATTCCTTTTTCCTCACGAACCGGTTTTGAACCACCACTAGTGTCTTCTCCACTATCCTCCGGCCTTAGAACGGGATTGTGAAATCCGGTGAGTGACTTAAACTTGGGAGAGAGTTTGTATATATGAAGAGAGTGTTTGTGAGAGGTTTTTCTCAAGGTTTTTCACCAACAAGAACCACCTTCCATGTACCATGATCACTCTATTTATAGAGTCATGTTTGCATGTTCATGCAAATTTGAGATCATTTTGACACTCAAAATTCCACTCAAATTTGTGGGATTTATTTGGCAAACATTCAAGTTTGGTTAAACCAAATTTTGACACTTGAAAATTTCACTAACGTGGATTTTTCCATTAAATGAAGTCAACATTTTGACTTTCTTCATTTTGATTCAACAATCAATTTGAATTATTAATTTTAAAGTAATATTAAATGATTAATTAAACTATTTAATTAATATTTAATATTAATTCAAATGTCAATCCCAATTTAATTCCGACATATATTTGATTAAGATATTTAAATCTTATTTAAATATCATAGATTCTCTCTTTTTGTTTAATTCGTAAATAAAACAAAAATGCGGTTAACCCATGACATTATGTATAAATCTAGGTTCATCAATAATTCATGTACCAAGTACCTAGAATTATGTGAATAACATGCTAAATAATTTGCTAGGATCCATACCCATAAGTAACCATTATCTGCCATTACGATGTGTACTAAAAGGCCCCTATTCCTCTTTAGGTAGGATGTCCTGCAATATGTATCATGAGCTGGATGTTATGATAGGCCTACCTTTCTTATCAGCTAAACGAGATGTCCTGCACCACGATTTACCAGTAGGATTACATGATTATGACGACACCACTCATGTGTTCATGGGGAGAAAATGGAAGGTTATTTTAGGGGAAGGTTTTCAGGATCAGTATATGATACATGACACGATGACCTCTTAGTTCTAAGATCCTGAAAACATAACAAGAAGTAATATCCTAGCTTAAGGTCGCGGTTAAGAACCTACTAGTAGACTACTTACTAAGTATTACTCACTCCATGTTTATCATTTTTTTTTCAAGTAACTATGAGTTGGCCGTGGATGAGAGCAGATCTTGGAGTGTGGGCCATGGACTAACCTCTGTTTTTAAAATAGTATTTTTTTTTTCTTCTTTTGAGTCTCCTTCTTATTTTGTGTTTATAATGAGTTTGTATATGTAACACCCCAAACATGAAGAAAATGAGATCCCGTAAGAATAAGCCACTCATGAAAGACCCAAATGACAGAAAGAAAACAAAATTAAAGTTTTAAGCAAGAACAAGGGACTTAGTCAATTGAGTACCCTAACAAGTGATTTCAAGGATTGGAAACGAAAAAGTAAATGAAAAGGGCAAAAAAGTCATTTTATCAATTATAAAAAATCTTTCCCTATTTGTAATTTCTTATCTAGAAGGAATCTCAAGATTAAAAAATAAGGGGGAAATGAACAAAAAGCAATGAGAAATTTGTAGAAAAATTATGGATTTTTCGAGAAAAATAATAATAAAATATTCAAAAATTGGAAAATTACCAAAATACCCCTGAAAGAATGGATAATTAGAGAAATGCCACTCTAATTAGAATCAGAGCATCTACCGTGACCATCCGAGCAAAATCCTTCAAACTCAAATCTCAATCGTTGGATCTCCTCCAAAATTTGATATGATCTCAATGAACACGCACGGATCATCACATCCAACAACCAGTATTCAAAGCCAAGGTCGGTAAGGCTATGATCGGAGTTGATATCTCCGAAAAATTATCCAGAAAGTTCGATCACTAGATATTGAAGATTCTAGAGCTCTC